GGAACCGGTCTGTATGTGGGATCCGAACCCTCGGCGGGAGCGCCGCCATGCTCCCAAGCGGCACACTGTAGCAGTGCACCACCGGGCCGGCCCAGTCTAAATTATTTCTAAAGACTCCTTTCAGTACTAAAGCTTGTAATACTAAATCTAGATTACCACCCGAGTTTACTAAATACATACTGGTAAATAAGCAGTGAAAGATTTTCATCTAATAAATCCAGTAACTAATCATTTGTGTCACAAACTGATAGCAAACTGATAGAACAACAGCATCAGAGAGTACTCATAACATCTCAGCTTTACTACATGCCAGGCCCCATGCTACCTTATTTAATCATCACACATACCTTACCAAGGGACCAAGGCTTAGAGATGTTAAGCGACTTGCCCAAAGTCACACAAATGGCACGTAACAAAGCTGAGATCTTAGAAGTCTGATTCCAGAGTCCACGCTTACACCTAGTGTGCTATGCTGCAGCCATACATTTGTACTAAGGGCTACCCAAATTAGGCTCTGTTAGTGATACAGGTTTCTGTAATTAGCACTTTTCATAAACTGTCTAAATTAAATACTATTTACAGGATTCTGTTGCTTTGCTACCAAATACGCACAACTGGTATGAACAAACACGTCAGTTTTTTCTTCTTTCATTACGGCCCAATAAACGGTCATACCTTATTAAAAACATCTTTGCTAATGGCATCCATGTTCCACAGACACATCCTCTCTCTCTGTACTAGAGCCTCCTCTTTCTGTCGCCATTCTTCTTCCCGTTGCCTCAGTTCTGATACTGCTGTTTGTGCTTTGGCATGTTCCTGATCCAAGGACTCAGAGTTATGCAGTGCTAGGCTACCAAGTTTCTGCTGAGCTTCAGCAAGATTCCATTTGCATGCCACAGAGCTCTTCACAAACTCTTTCTGCTTTTGGCAAGCCAGTTCAATCCCATGGCTATACATCTGGATGAAAAAAAACAATTATTAGTAAGAAATGAAGAAGGCAATGGATATGTTTGTTCAGCACAGTACAATGTTTTAGGTACATAGTGTATCCTGTGTTCTGTGTCTGCAGTTTCATTCTTACATTATAGGCCTTGTTTCATCAACAAGACTCTAAGCTTCTTTGTTAATCTATGCCCCTCCCCTGACAACTAACAGCAACAAAAAGCCTGGCAACTATCACAGTGTCTTGCACATAGCTGTTCTTCAACAAACATTTGATTTATAGTCTTCATAATCCTGAACCAGCAGAATAATGAGAACAAAGCTTAAATCTAGCTCATCACCTCAACACTCAACATGCTGAAAAACAGACCTTTAGAATTTTGTTCTGCAAGTTCTTCACCGCAAAGTACCTCCTTTTATTTAGAAGTAATAATTTGTTGGTTTCTATCTTATTTTTGAATTGTCCCAATTCTTGGTGATTTAAGTTGTTCTTATTGGAAATTTCTATTTTTAAGTGATTATATAAAACATATCCTTTAATTTAATCCTAATCAAAATGTGCTTAGTTATTTTTTTTAAAGTGCGAACTGGTCCACTGTGGTAACTCTGTTCCACTCAAAAGCAGTAATAATTAATTTCAATATTTACTTAATCACCATATGTAAAGCACTGTGATAGGTGTTTAATTCCTTCTATTCCTTGGCTCTATAAAACAAAACAAAAGTTGAAAGCACATTTTTCATGATTTCTCAGCCAAATGTAGATCAACTTCAAATTACTTATTCAGAATAATTTCTCTCCAATCTGTTCCCACATCTGCACCACTATTCAAGCACTTTCAATTTCACACCTGAATTATAAAAATCAGCCTGTCTTGTCCCAAGCCATTCCCTGGTAGACTGGACTGATTCTTCCAAAAACCAAATATGATCATTTTATTCATTTTTAGAGTCTTGGGATAAAGTGCAAAGTCTGTGACATGGCATGATATCACTTCGTATTATCTCTCTAGACTCAGTTCCAGTTACTCTTCTATTTATTTGCTTATTCTTCCCATCTCTGTCCCCATCCGCCCTTCAGTTTAACAATCCTCCTCCCTCTAGGTAACTCCTACCTCCATGCAGATTCTGGCATCCCTAAGCTTTTTCTTTTCTATTCTTTCCTCATCCAAGTTGTTCATATTTCTATCGTGGTGTGTTTCATGCAAAATTGTACTCAACTATAGACTTCTTGAGGGGCTAGAATTCAAGAAATGTTAAGATGAATAAATGAATCTCCACTTCTTGGAACAGACAGGTGGTGGTAAAGAATTGTCGGGCAAACAGCAAGCAAGGCCCCTACTGAGTCTTTAAGCGAACTAAGGTTTCTACTGGAGCAAGTGTAGACACTACTGCTATTCAGATGTTTTACTTACCCATTCAGCAGGTTTGTAACCCAGGTACCACACACCTGGCTAACTACATCCTGAACTAACCAAGTAAAATATTTACTTTTACTTTTTGCTATCTTAGAATAGGACCAAGAATAACTGTAGACAAGCTATACTTAAAATAGGGCCAGGAAAAGGAGAAAAATGAAGGTATAAAACTTATTTTGTAGGAAAAAACAAAGATATTACAAGAAAAGCAATATGGATAAATGGGAATATCTTGCATTTTCAAATTACATGAGAGGAAATATTCATTTCTCAAATCAAACAAATTCTAAAAATGATTTATGTTTAAATTCTTCTCTGCAGACCACCCAGACAACATTTGGCCATTTGGGCAGACTATTCCACACATATTGAGATGATTAAATATTAGGTCATATTTTAATCTGTAAGAACATTATTATATTTTAATGGACATAATTATATTTTAATATAACTAAAACATAATTATACTTTAAACATAATTATATTTTAATATAACTAAAACATAATTATATTTTAAACATAATTATATTTTAATGAACATAAATTCCAAACAGGAACTGTTAGCATAAAAGTCTACTAATGTAACTTTACAACAAAAATTCTCAAAAAGGATCTCTACATTCTGATCTGCCTTTACATTAATTAGATCTGAGAACTATACATCATATATTACATTGATTACTAGATTCCCCAAATTTGATAATTAAACCAAAGCTGGTTTTTTAAAGATTATAAAAATGTTTACCGATCAGACTGAACATTTCATTCTTTCCAAATATTCCAATCCAAAAATTAAAGTTAGCAAGACAAACAAGTAGGTTTGCAATAAACACACGAACTTAGAATTAGTAATCACTTTGCAAATTTTAACACTATTTAAAGGTAGTTCCAGCCAAATAAAGTTTTATAGTACTTCACAGAATGGGCAGTGCAGTAAGTGAGAAAAGATATAAGCCTAGGAGCCATAAATAGGTTCTAGTTTTAACTCTGCCACTAACTAGCTATATGGCCTAAGGGGAAATCACTTTTAACTCACTTAAAATTCCTTTCAGCTAAACAAGTTTATAAGTGCACAAGTAAAATATTACTGTACAGATATTTTTCAAATTCAGAGTTTTTATTAGATTACTTTTGTGACTCAAACACAACGCATGAAATTCTTGAGACCTTTTCCCCCTCCCCATATGCCTTTAAAATTGACAACAGCAGCTGCTGTTCATTCTTTTCTCTAACACATTATGTGCTTATAACACATTTTGTATATAAAGATGACACTAGTGATCCATAATTAGTGGGTGACTACTGACCCATCAACTCTCAATTCTGCCTCCTAAAAAATGTCTTGCACTTTTCCAGTGACTAGCTGGCCCAAGTACAGCCTGTGGTTATGAAACAGCATTTTTCTCTGTGTGAAGCCAACTAACCCCGTTAGTTCGGCATAAGATTGATACTACATTTACTGGCAAACGATTTAAATCACTCATCTTCATTAACATCTAGCAAAATGAGCTCAGAGAAAAACTGCTATTAATGCTGTTACGTTCTTAGGACCCCATTTTGCAAGAAGCCTACAACGCACACCTACAATCCATTTCGTTGAACATATTAGTGTTTAGTCTGTGATCCTGGAATATAGTTCCAAAACACACTCGAGCTGGGAGAAAAACAAGGACAAGGAATTGAGAGTACTAAGCACTCCCTAAGATAGGTCCCAGAAAAATCCTAAATGGTGTATCACATTTGGATGAATTTCAGAGGCAGGAAGCTGGGTTAAAAACCACAAGTAGCATCAAGAACCTGAGGGAGAAGTCTGAAGGAAAAGGCAAGTGTGTGCCTATTACGTTTTTTTCTGGAGAATGACGTGAAGCAAAACTAAAAACAAAACAGTAAGGTACAGATGGTCATGTGAATGGGAGAGGTGGAAGCCAACACCAAAAGCGAGGTTTACAGAATTTGCTCAAATGACCACATGGGTGAAATAGCATGTGAAATCCTTATATCAGGACTCAGTGTAATGCTGAACTACATTCACTGTTCCCAACTACCAACTGTGTTCAAGCACGCTGGAGCCTTTAACAGAATAAAGTGCTCGGATAAAAGCACGCACAAGAGGACAAAGGGTCAATGTTATAGCGTGAGCCGCCCCCAATCCGGGTGCTGTCAAAAAGGGGGGAGGAGGAACATCTCACAAGGATGAGAAATCAGCCAAGGTGAAAGAAAAGGTGTGCATGGAGGTGGAGGTTGGGGATATACGGCCACCCCCTCTCCCTTCCGGAGATGCTACAATAGCGGTAGGATGGCATCAGGTCCCCAAGCCCCCGGGGGTGAGGTGGACACAGAACAGGGCATAGAAGAGGGTCGGGGAAACACGGCACTCTCGGGGGCTTGGCGACAGCACCGCCCCATCCCCCTGCAGAACGCGGGCCCCCCTCACCTGGGCGCCGTCACCCTGCAGCTGCGGGCAGCGGGGAGAACCGGGGGACACGTCCAAGTCACTTTCTTCCTCAGCCTCACCCTCGGCTCGAGGGAGGCTCCAGGGTCCAGGCGGCGGCCACGGCTGCTCCATGTCCCGCTGCCCCCGGCCGTACAACCGCCACTGCCAACGGACTTGGCTAGCGTGCCAGCTGCTGCGCGGGGCCAGCCACCCCGGCCGGCCTGGGTTGTTACCCAGAATCCCTCTGCCGGCCGCGACGCCGACGCACACACCGCGCTAGCCTGGGCCCCGCCAGGGGCGGAAGGCGGAAGAAGAAGTGCTCGAAGTGATGCGTCACTTCCGGCCGTGGGCGGGACCGTGGACGCGCGTACGCCGGCCCTGGGTGTGAGGGGGTGGGTGTGGGACGTCCTCTTTTGAAACTCAGTTCTCTGAAGCCTTAGAGCGCTGCGAACTTACTCCTGATGGAGCTACGGGTGGTGAAACGTTTGTTAGGTAGTGTTAGATACTTGTTATCTAGTGTTCCGTAGCTGGGAACCGTGCGTCCTGGCCGCCGGGACGTGCCCGGACCCAGTGTCTCCTTTGCATGTTCCTTAAAAACTGCAACTCATTCTTGTGCATTGACATGTAAACCAGTAGTTCCGAGGCAGGGGTGGTGGGAGCGGAGGAGGGGAGAGAGAACTTTGAAAGGCAGAGCCAATTTTTCTGTCACTTCGAATTACAGGCAACGAGAGGGAACTGCGAAACTTGGCTGGGAGGAGTACACCAGATAAACCAGTGGAGCGAGCACAGCTTCAGAAGATTAAGAGGAGTACGACCAGCAGTGACGTTTATGGAGGGCTTGTGTGTTCTCACGTATCTCGTTTAATACAGAAGATTTGTGCTCTCGTTATACCCTTTTTTGAGAAGAGGAAATAGGCTGAAATGCCCGAGGTCACACATTTTAAGAGGAAGAGGTAGAATCCTAACCCAGGGAGTTTAGAAGCTTGCACGTTTAACAATCAGGCCTTGCTGCCCTAGTTATTGAAGAGTCCAAAATAAAAACGAGACGCCATTTTTTCAATTTATTAGATAGGCAGATTTTTGAACTACCAAATGTGTACGAAGACATGAGGAAATGCTGTTGAGTGAATGTGTAACCTTTTGGGAGGAGTAATTTGATCATATGAGAGCTTAAGTGCTTTGATTACTCAATTACACTACCAGGAAATTATCAACAGTTATTTTTGGACCAATATCTAAAGATTTACCCACAAAGATATTTTTGCAACATTTTTTGTAGTAAGAAAAAAACGAAAGACGGTCTAATTGTTCATCAATAGAGGAAGTTAAATTTTGTCATATTAATACAATGGAATTTTTTTTTTTTTCCTTTTTGTCTTTTTCCGTGTCCGGCAACGGATCGCAACCCTCAGTGTCGCCCCCGTACCGGACTAGGACCGGCAACAGGATCGCAACCGTCGGCGTTGCTCCCACGCCTCGCTCAGCCAGTGAGCGGGAACCGGTCTGTATGTGGGATCCGAACCCTCGGAGGGAGCGCCGCCGCGCTTCCCAAGCGGCGCACTACAGCAGTGCGCCACCGGGCCGGCCCAATACAATGGAATATTATCAACCTTTAAAAAGAGTAAAGTAGATCTAAATGTGCAGATATAGAAATATGTCCAAATGTATTCAGTTTTTTTTTTAAAGTTGCAGAAATAGATATATGTATGTATGTGTATGCATATACATAGAGAGAGATCCTATTTGTGTAAAAAGAAGTCCGTGTGGGTGGGTGGGTATGTGGGTGTGTGTAGAAAATTCCTGGAGGGTATACAAGAAACTCTTAATGATTACCTGTGATGGGTAAACTGGGGAGGAAAGTTTCTGAGGATCTTTAATTTCCATATTAGCTTTCTTATATTGTGCTGTTTGAATATTTTCCAAGGAATATACAGGAGGGGTTGTGAAAAAATTCATGGAAGGATTCAGATTTTAACTCAAATCTTCTCCGAACTTTTTGAAGTAGCCTCGTATTATAAGTTAATAATTGATTACAAGTAAAAGTTGAGAAGCACTGATCCTAAACCTTTTGAGTTTATGGGTTAAAGCCACAGAAGAAAACAGAATGGGAGAAAGAAAAGGAAAACACTTTTTTCTCTTTGCTTACATGAAGCCACAGAGTACTTTGAGCAATGCCTGTCATAAAGTAAGCTCTATACAAATGCAAAGTGTTGTTTTTGCTTTTTTTCTTCCCTCTCTCTCTACTTCTCAGTTTCTTTCCTTTCTAGCTGAACTCTAATTTTAGATTCCTCAGATTTTGGCCAATGGGGAGGATCTTGTCTATTCTCGTGGCTTTAAATAACATCTCTGTATTGACAATTCCAAAATTGAAATCCAATCCCTGACCTTACCCCTGTGCATCAGACCTGCTGATCTGACATCTCTATTTGAATGGCTCATGAACATCTTAAATTTAACATATCCAAAAAAGAACTCTTGATTTCACCAGCTTCCCCAAACTTATTCTTCCTGTCTTCTCCGTGTCAATAAATGGCACCACATCAAGTCCAAAATCAAGAGGTCGGCCTTAATTCCTCCTTCTCCTTCACTTCTCATACCTACACCAACAGCAAGTCCTGTTCTTTTTTTTACTTCCAAACACATCTTGAATCTATCTACTTCTCTTCAGCTTTACTACTTCCACTCTAGGCCAGGCCACCATGATCCCTCCTCAGGACTACTGCAGTAGTCTTCCATTATTTTGTTCCATTCTTGCTCCTTACAATTTCATCATACAGTTGCCAGAGAGGTTTTTAAAAAATACTTAGATCATGTAACCCTCCTGCTGTAACAATCATATACTTTTTTTTTTTTTCCTTTTTGTCTTTTTTCGTGACCGGCAACGTATCACAACCCTCAGTGTCGCGCCCGTACCGGACCGGGACCGGCAACAGGATCGCAACCCTCGGTGTTGCTCCCATGCCTCGCTCAGCCAGTGAGCGGGAACCGGTCTGTATGTGGGATCCGAACCCTTGGCAGGAGTGCCTGCCGCACTTCCCAAGCGGCGCACTGTAGCAGTGCGCCACCGGGCCGGCCCAACAATCATATACTTTTAATGCGAATAACTGAAACCCGAGCTAAAACACACTTAAACCATAAGGACATTTACTGTTTATTTAACAAAAAGGAGGGAGCTAAGTGGTCTCAGAATAGGCTTAGCATTTTGCTGATGTCATCAAGGACTCAGGTTCTTTCTAAACTTCCTCTCCACCGTTGTAAGTCTGTTGACTTTCATCTTCAAGTCTTTTACATCATGGTCACAGGAGGGCTGCCACAGCTCTGGATATCACATCAGAACATGACAGCAGCTAATGTAGGAAGAGAGAGAAGGAGGCAAAAACACTTTTATTCACTTGTGGCACTCATATCAGGAATAAAAATATTTTTAAGAAGCTTCCAGTGATTTCCCCTTATATCTCGTTGGCCAGAACTAGCTTAAATAAATTATCATTGGTTCCCGGGAGCTGGATGCATTGCCACCCAAACAAAACTAGGATTCTGTTAGCAAGGAAGAGGAGGTTATGGCTGTCACGTAGGTGGCCACATTGTCTGCCATAACTGTTTTTAACTTCCTGTGCAGTCTAGTGGCAGCCTAACTCTTGAGTGTCATCTCTTAGCCGCCCCCTGCCCCTTCCTCCTCTCTACCCAGGTCTCCTTTAGTATGTTCTTTGGCCCCCTTTCACTTCCTCAAACATATTGATTTCTTTCCTGACTCGGGGCCCTTTGCATTTGCTGTTCCTTTTGCTTAGCTATCTTTTCTCTTAGTTCTTTGAAAGTCTTGCTAGTGGTCATGCTTCTCCGCTTAGATCTTAGATCAAATGTTATACCCTTTGAGAGGCCAACCTGGCCATTGAGTCTAATTTAGTTTCTTATTTCCTCTCCTACCTGTAATATTTTATCTCACCATCTTGGATATTTCCTTTCTATCATTCATCATACTCTTATTATCTTATTTATGTTCACTTATTACGTTTCTTCCTCCACAAAAGCATATTGTCTCTTGTTCACCCTTGTACCTATATTACCCAGAACAGTATCCAGCACATAGTAGGTACTCTCTCTCTCTCTCTCTCTCTCTCTCTCTCTCTCTATATATATATATATATATATATATATATATATATATATATATATGCTGAATAAATGAATAGGGAATAAATGGATGGAAACAAAGATAAAAGATGCAGGATTAAATAAAGGCAGAAGAGGAGGAAAAGAAAACAGAAAGAGGTATATTTTGGTAGAAGGAGGTGGAAATAATGACAGAAGTAGCCTCATTTTGAGCCATTGCTGACTTCAGAGTCTAAATCCTGTGCCCAGGCACAGTAGACACTTTTTTTTTTAACAAGTCATGGAACTTAATCATGCTCTTTTCTGCTTTCTTATATTGGATAATAAATAAAATTCCTTGGAAATTGTTTCGGGTCATAATTTGCCTATTACTCCCATGGACATACAGCTAGCTAGCAGAAACTCAAAAGAGCAAATTAGTTTTTTTTTAATAGAAGTTACTTTTAAATGGGAGGTCTATGTGGTCCAAAGTGCCAAAGGGCAGTCCTTGTGGAAGAGTTCGTGTGGCATCATTATGTAAGTATTGAGCCTACAAATGCCAGTGAATCAAAGCACAAGCCAAAAAGTAACATATGAGTCTGACTCATGAACTCTAATAAAGTTTCATGAAGTACATTCCATGTGTGGGTCTAGATCCAAATGACTCCAAGATTGTTAAAAGCTGTTCAATTGCAATATGATTCCTTCCTTGGAAGTATTCCTGATACTTGGGGGGAAATTCTCAAAAAGTGTGTACACTTAAAGAAATATTCAAATTGCCAGCTCCTGTTTTTAATATTCATAAAGAGACCACTATTCTCAAAATACAGTGGTACTTTTTCCCTTTAAATGGGTTTCCCTCTGAATTATTTGTAAGGTATTATATACATCACAATAATTTTCTTATCTCATCTACATTTGAGGTAAATAGATCCAACATATTTTCTCTTTAAATTCCTGCCTTCTGAAGGGAATTTCATGATGATACCATCAAGAATTTTCTTGCCTTACATCTGTTACAAATGGGCAAGATTCCGCACATTCACTAGAAACAAGTTGTAGTGTAACTGCACGTGTGTGCCCATTGACTGATTCAGGATGATCGTGGTAATTATTTCATGCTTGGCTTGTGGCCACTATTGTGTTCTAAGAGTATAAAGGTAACTGCTCTGAACCACTGGACGCCAGAGGATGGAAGGTGGGCAGAGCATGGAGGGCCAGTGG